CGAGCCAGGGAGGCTCGCCACGCCCACGCTCTCGTCTTCCCGCCGTGCCCGTGGTCGAGCCAGGGAGGCTCGCCACGCCCACGCTCTCGTCTTCCCGCCGTGGTCGAGCCAGGGAGGCTCGCCACGCCCACGCTCTCGTCTTCCCGCCGTGGTCGAGCCAGGGAGGCTCGCCACGCCCACGCTCTCGTCTTCCCGCCCTGGTCGAGCCAGGGAGGCTCGCCACGCCCACGCTCTCGTCTTCCCGCCGTGCCCGCGGTCGAGCCAGGGAGGCTCGCCACGCCCACGCTCTCGTCTTCCCGCCGTGCCCGCGGTCGAGCCAGGGAGGCTCGCCACGCTCGTGTTACCCCGCCGTGCCCGCGGTCGAGCCAGGGAGGCTCGCCACGCCCACGCTCTCGTCGGGTTCCCTCGTCATGTCCCCAGCCATGCCCCCGTCTCATGTCCCCAGCCATGCCCCCTCGTCATGCCCCCAGCCATGCCCCCTCGTCATGCCCCCTCGTCATGCCCCCTCGTCATGCCCCCTCGTCATGCCCCTTGCCTCAAGTCCCACGCCAAGTCCCACGCCAAGTCCCACGCCAACCCAACCTTTTGTCTGTTTCCCTCCGTTCCTGACCCCCTCCACCCGCCCTTGGTAGATGTTTTGTGTCCTTAGGGCCGTCTGGAAGCCGTCCCTTGAGGGGGGGGCTCTGTCACACCTGGGGGAAATGTTGGTGTTTTTGGTCTTGTCTCCATGTTGTCTTGTCATTTCCTGTTTTATTTTGAAAGATGCATCCCCTTGTTTCAGGTCACTTGCACTTCCTGTTGTGTTCCCAGTCTGTCTCCTTGATTACCTATTGTGTACACCTGGGATTCCCTTCCCTCATGTGTTTAAATAGTCCTCGTTTCCCCTTGTCTTGTGCGAGTGCGTTTTCGTCTTTCGTCCGTCTTGTCCGTCGTCTCCCCCACGCCAGGTCTGTTTGCCATAGTTTTTGTCATAGTCACAGTTTTGCTACAGTTTTGTTAATCTTTATTTTGTTACTTTGTCAAGTCATAGTTTTTGCCACAGTCTTGTTTGCTCATTGCTTTGTTACTTTGATCACAGTTTTCCACAGCTTTGCTTTGTACTTTGTCTGGACTCTGGTTTTTGTTACAATAAACCTTGTTCCCCTCATCTCTGCAACTGAGTCCTCCCCTTCAGAACCCACCCCCCTGACAATCAGTAATGCTTTAGCATATGGAACAAAAAAAAAAGAAGCAGATGAGTAAACTAAAGTGACAAAGTATGGGATAAGATGGTACATTGAGGGCAGACAGACTGTAGAATGCACCTGGAGTGTGGGCTGGATTCATCTGGCTTGTCCTGCTGTACCAGTAATAACAAGCTTCAGTCACCGCAAAGCTTGTGAGGGTGTTGTGTGACCCCAGTGTGCTACACCATAGGACAGGAAGCCACTGTATGTGTGTCTGTCTTTCTGTCTCACATACTGCACTTCACTGAAAATTCTCCAACATGCTCTGACTGGGCAGGCAGGCTTTGAAGTCACACATCCACCCAAACACAGCGGCACACTCTCACACACACAGAAAACTGCTGAAACCCCCCCCCCCCCGTTAATAGAAATGTCTGTGGGCTTTCCCACAGAAATTGTGACAGGATATCCACAGGATACAAAAACGTCATGTTTAAATAAGAATTTATGATTAGCAGTTGTTCCCAACTTTTTCATGTAATGTGTACATACACTGGGGTTTCCGGTGTGAATGTTTGTGTCGCATGTGGTCAATCGAGGACATCAGCAAGGGATGAGGATTAATAGCTTGACAGTGATTCATCCTTCCTGTGTCTGGCTTCATTCATGAATGTTAAATCTCAGAGTTTGCTATACTGTGTGTCGATCAGTTAAGCATAGTTCATACTCCTGCCACCAGCAGACAGTTGGAACAGAAGCAGCAGCTCTTGCATTGCACCACGATTAATTAATTGACTTCATTAGGTCACAGTTGTAGATGCCCTGAAAAATATATTTTGCATATTTTTGTTACTCAATAATCTAAACAAGTCAAGTCTGTTCAGAAGAAGCCTCCAGTCAGTATTTTAGAACAGACCTTTGTCCTTTTTTGTAGAGAATACACAAAGAGAGTTAAATTAGGTATCTTAAAATG